GTTGATTTAGGAGAATATCGTTGATTTAGGAGAATATCGTTGATTTAGGAGAATATCGTTGATTTAGGAGAATATCGTAGATTTAGGAGAATATCGTTGATTTAGGAGAATATCGTTGATTTAGGAGAAAATCGTTGATTTAGGAGAATATCTCTGATTTAGGAGAATATTGTTGATTTAGGAGAATATCGTAGATTTAGGAGAATATCGTTGATTTAGGAGAGTATCGTAGATTTAGTTTAAGAAATCATAAGTCAAAAAAGAATGTAAAGACACCTCCTGTAACAATATTTCTTAACAAAAAAGGGATTTATAAAATTACCTGACGGGCTTAGGGCAAATTGTACAGTCCTCATGTAAGTTATTGTGCACTGTAATATATGTACTGCAGTGATAGGAAATAAATAAAAAAAAACCTAGAGATAAGAAGGTTTTATTGAAGGACAGAAGAAGATTTGGTATTTGGCGTCTGCAGACAATATAATAATTATAATTTGGGTAAATCATATTATACATATAATTGTGAACCATATCCCTAATGTAACCCTGTTTTAAAAGTCGTCTCCGACAAATTGTATCTCCATTGAATCCGTTGAGTACTCCGGCCACCCGCCAAACCAAACCTTGCCAAGGATTTTGCATAAATAACCTCATGGAGCTAGTAAAACTTAAAGTGCATTAAAAGAACCCATTTAAACATAATTTTTAGTGAATCATTTACATATAAACAGTGAACTTATTTTAACCAGATAAATATTCATTTCAGAAGAATTAAATTGCTTTAGACTTCAGTTCAAACAACTTTTCGCCGTACCACAGTTTTCTAGATTGTAAGTTCCGTATACCTAATTCACAACAGTACCTTTTTAAAAACCCTTTATTTATCAGTCCAAAACAGTGCCTTTTTAAAACCTTCATTTATCGATTCACAACAGTAATAAAATATGAATGCTAAACCTGCTAAACCTAGAGTTTCCAAACCCTGCTAAACCTGCTAAACCTAAAGTTTCCTAAACCTACAAAACCTAGAATTCCTATACCTTTCAAGACTTTGTTCAATTCTTAATAGTACATGTTTCTAAACCAATTGTTCGATTCACAACGATACTAATTTATTGACAAACCCTTAAATGTTTAATCTTTATTAACAATTATTATTTACATGCATGTACGCCAATAACAATTTGTATTTTGTAGGAAACCTCATTACTGAAATAAACATTTTCAAGAAGTTCTCATCTATGTGTGTCTGGAAGAAAAGAGTGTTTCCCTAGCCTATTCGCCTTTGGATTTGTCATTCTTCGAGTTACTTATCCTTTGCTTCAGTACATCCCGCTTCGAGTAATATTCCTTTTGTTCAGCTCACAATAATGTATTTGTTAGATAGATAGATAGATAGATAGATAGATAGATAGATAGATAGATAGATAGAAAGTTTAGATAGACTATATTCAGTTGTATCCTGAGGTTCCGTGGCATCCCACCGGATGATGCAGTTTTAATCTTATTTTTCATTCCCAAGGGAGATTGCAACTTACAGACGGAATATTAACAGTTTTTGACTTACAATATCGGGGTTATAGTAAGAACCGGGGAGGGGGTAATTCAAGCCATAGCTTTTGAAATTAGTGAAAACACTATCTTTTAAGTTAGATAAAAACTGCCAATTTTTTTAATTATAAATTTGTAGATTTGAAATGTGTGTGTTGAAGAAAAAGTATATAGCAGGTTAATTAATTGTTCTAAACCTATCTCATATTTTCTCCTGGCTCCGCAAAAACTAGATTTAATCTCTTCTTTCTTCCCTCTCTCTTAGATTAAACTATTTTCTGCAGAGAATGAGAAAAACTTAATTATTAATCTCCTTTTACTCCCTTTTATCTCATTAATTTTAAATTAATTAAAGGGAGTGTTCGAATATTTATATTTAAGGGTATGCACGCATATTTATATTAAAGGGAGTGTTCAAATATTTATATTTCAGGGAGTACACATAGAACAAATAGAACAAATAGAACAATAAAGAATAAGAATAAAATAGAACAAAATATGAAAAAAAATCCAAGATGAAAAAAAGAACAAAATAAAACAAAATAAAACAAAATAAAACAAAATAAAACAAAATAGAGCAGAATGGAAAAGAAATAGAAAAAGAAAAACGTTGTTATTTTTATTTTAAAGTTAATGCTGCAGCGCTCTTAAAGTGTTCTCTCAAAGTAAACAAATTAAAACAAAGTTTTTGAAAAGATATTCATCAAAAATAAGGCAAAATTATGCAAATATGATGAAAAACTTTTGCAGAAAAATTTCAAATTTCAAAGCTAACATGAACAAACCGTTACAAATTATGTTTATTTCTATAGAATCTTTTATAAATCAATAATCAAACTAAACGAGATGGATCATTTATAACTTCAAGATGAAAATAACAAAAGAAAATGATTTATTTCCCTAAATTTCATGTGTAGAATAAATAAAAATTTGGCAATTTGAAGATTTTTCAGTTAAATAAGCCTTTTCTTTTATAACTCAGATATAATTAGTTATGAATATGAGAATGTTAATAAAAAGAAAGAATCCAATACAGGTTGGTATAACTCGTAAATATTTGATATTTTCATTTTCCAGAAGTTATGTTTGCTCTTTAAAAGTCAGAATTTTAGAAATATTTTCTATTCTTTAAAATTGGGATAATAGCTGTAGTAGTTTAGTAGTTTGGAAGTTTAGTAGTTTAGTAGTTTAGTAGTTTAGTAGTTTAGTAGTTTAGTAGTTTAGTAGTTTAGTAGTTTAGTAGATTAATAGTTAAGTAGTTTAATAGTTTAGTAGTTTAATAGTTTAGTAATTTAGTAGTTTAATAGTTTAGTAGTTTAGTAGTTTATTAGTTTAGTAGTTTATTAGTTTAGTAGTTTAGTAGTTTAGTAGTTTAGTAGTTCAATAGTTTAGTAGTTTAGTAGTTAAAGGGTGAAAAGGTTAAGATGTTCATTTTATAATTAATTTAGAAGTTAAGTTCTTCTGCAATCTAAAAGCTAACTGTTAAAGATAACGCTTTTCCTTCCACCACTTTTTTATTGGTTTTCTCTTCTCTCTCGCTCTGTCTCATATCTCTCTCCTTTTTATTTTCACAGCTTTTGATTTTGAAATATGCAGTATTTTTTTCCGACTTTTACAATTTCGTTATTAATTATTAATTAATTTAAAATTATTTTGTTTAGGGCCCACAATAGCAGTGTCAGATGAGAGTACAGTGCCCAAATGGAATAAAGTGAAGGTGATAAGATTTATATGTTTTACACTTTTTACAAATTTATTTAAACACGCAAATAAAGTAGATAGCAATTTTAGATTTGTTACTAATGTTTATACAATTATAAATAGTAGATAGGGCAGGCTTCCGATATTTGCCAATGTTTGGTGAGGGTTGAGGGGGGGGGGTAACCCAAATATTGCGCTGACGTTTCATTACCTTGGAATTTTGGTCGTTCTGTGTCAAAACCCTGACACAGTTTGGTCGGGAGGGGAAAATGTGTTCCCCCTTTTCAATTTTTATGCATACTTTTAAATTAACTAAATTTTGACTGTATAAGTGGTGCTTGAATAAATTCTTTTTAAATTCCATTCTTAAAGATTCAAATTAAATGGCTAGAAATTTTGAAGATGAAGTATTTATCATTAGATTATAACTATTTAATTCTTATGTACTAGACAGTTGTACAACAGGGCGCTTGTATCTACGAATCAATCTGCAAAGCTTTTGTATTTATGTATTTCGAAAAAATAAAATTACAAAACTTTGCGGCTTTTTCTGTTTTCATTGGCGAATTGCCGATTTTTTTAATAACCTAAATTATTTTTTGGCCGTTAATTTGTGTTATGTGAATTACCAAAAAATTTAAAAAAGATATGTTTACTAGGAGTTACTTTAGTTAAACTAAACTATGTAATTATGTTTAATGCATGAAACAAATCAAACAGAATTTTAGAATAAATTTGGTTAATATAAACCATTTAATGTAAACTTTGAGACTGTTGGTTTGATATTAAATTGCACATTTCAAACAGTTTTTCATGTTTTATAATTACAATATATTTAGGTTTTTAATACATTTTTATAGGTAAGGTGTCCTAATTTTAAAAACTTATAAACGTAGATTTAATTTTCAATGTAAAAATAGGCCTTAAATGTACTTTAAGATTGTCAAAGATATTTGGTAGATAATTAGACAATTTTGATTTTATTCAATCAAAATATATCAAAATTTATAATTCACATTCTTAATCTTTGATGGTATAAAATGGTAATCCACATTTTGGAAATCCCAAGACCACGGTTTTTGTTCCAACTGTTTTAAGTTCAGTACTACAATGACAAATAAAAGGGTTTCAAAACACTTTGAAAAAAAATACTTGATTGTATTATATATATATATATATATATATATATAGTATTTTTTTCATATATATTTATATATATATATATGTGAGCTATGAGCTTTATCATATAGCTAGATATATACACGAACTATAATATGTAGATATTTTATGATTTCCGGAGTTTGGCAAAATTATGAAGAATTAATTTCCTAAAAGCAGAAAATAATTTCCGGACAACCTTAAGCGAATTTTCAGCTCGCTGCTACATATTAGAACAATGAACAATTATTATGTAAATAAATCATGTGCATATTAATGATATAAAATGAAAAAAGAATGCGATGTTGCAAAACCTTAGGTGATTGTTTCATCCGATGAAATGGAACTACTAATATGAGAAGTAGTTGATACAGCCGTACCTATTTCATTAATCCTAAACAGGCTATGGGGGGGGGCGTTGGACGCCACCCCCCTTTTTTCTGTGAGCTGGCCTTGACAAATTGGGCTATAAACAAGAATTGCAACCATATAGCTTTACTCCAGAGTCTTTTTCTTTAATCTTTGCAACCTGATGTTGGAGACAGTTGACAGTTCAAACTAAGAATTCTTCTTTGTTTCAAATAATCAGAGTTTTTATCTTCAAACTTTGGTTATTTGATTTATCAAAAATCATAGTTCAAATTTCAAATGTATATCTTAGGGCTGCAAAGGTATATCCAAGGGTTGCAAAGGTATATCCTCGGGTTGCAAAGGTATATCCTATAGGTTGCAAAGGTATATCCTCGGGTTGCAAAGGTATATCCTAGGGTTGCAAAGGTATATCCTCGGGTTGCAAAGGCATATCTTAGGGTTTCAAAGGTATATTCTCGGGTTGCAAAGGTATATTATAGGGTTGCAAAGGTATATCCTCGGGTTGCAATGGTATACATGGATTAAAAAGTAAAATTTTAGTTTTTGACGATAAATATGTCATGTAATGAGTTATGACTTTTAATCAATGTTGCCTATATATTTTTACATAATTTTGCATATTTTTCTTTTCTTTTGTAAAAGTACGTACATTTGAACATTTACACAAAATTAAACTACACCATTAATAATGTATGTATCTATATCTTTTTGTTGGAATAAATCTTTATAAATCTTTATTAGAGTTTGTGGCGAGTTATTGGTCCATTTCCTGCTCATTTTGTGTATTTTTGTTAGAACGAAATAAACAAGATAAAGGCCCAACTCATGCATGAGCAGTATTGCACAGTTAGTTTAAATAAAACATTTCCAATTTCATTTTAAAGGAAAACATTTCCGCCAGAATTTTCTCAATATATAATGTATTATTCAGCAAATATATACTAAGATAGGGATGGGAAATTATAATTCAGGTAGAAATGGGAAAAGGGAAGATAATAAATAAAAATAGAAATAAAAAAGAGAATGCATGATATATATAAATGGGAAGAAATGATGGAAAATATTGAATGAAGAAGAGAAGTGAAGAAAAAATGAAAGAATAGAATAAAAATAAGCAGCGTTAGGATAAGGAAGGTTTACTAATGCATAATGGGAAGTACGAAATAAAAAAAGAGACTGAGATAAAGAAAGAAAAAAGAAGAAGAGAATGAGAAGAAGGGTAAAGAAAGTCGGGTTTATTTAAATAAATGAGATAGTTAGAATGTCAGGCTGGCCTTACAAAACAGAGCCGCGGCATTAAACAAGTTTAAAATAACATTGTAGATACACATTTATCTACAGTCTACAGTCTACAGTCTACAGTCAACAGTCTACAGTCTACTGCCTACAGTCTACAGTCTACAGTCATTAGGGTTTACCAACGAAAGTGGATTTCATTTGCGCCCGATTGTGAACCCTGTAGTTCCTCACAATTCCGCACTTACCTACAGTTCCTTTTAAACTTAAACTCTTTCAACTTAGTCATTCTCAAGATTTTCAATGAATGTTTTTTGACTGATTTTTATGATAGATGACCTGTATGAGTGTTGCTGCCCGTAAGACCTGGTGTGGGTTTGTGGTTCTAGCTTTAGTGACCAGCACATGGGTAGCTGCCACACAATTCCTAAAGGTAAAATTTAAACCTTCCTTTACTTTTTGTTCATTTTAAAAATATTCATATTTTTTATTTCCTCAAGGGTTTAGATCGTTTAATACCTTCACCTTGGTTTCAAGACCTCAAAGTAGTGATGTGCATTCCGTTTGTTCATTTTTAAAACGTTTCTAAAAATTCTATTCTTACTTTGTGAAAAATTATTAACCCTGACAGAAAATATACCAATAAATCGAGCCAAAATTAATCAAAAACTATTAAAAAAAGATGTTATAATGATCGTTTTTGATCGTTTTCCAAAGTTTTTTAGAAAAATAATAGATTCTAGAATATATGGCAACATAATATTTGTACACTCTCAGTTCAGCTGTATGTTTGCGTCATATGTGTCAACTTAGTTTTTGTGTCCGACAAAATTGTTAATAATAGTGATAATTATAGAATAAAGTGCTTATCAAACGGTAAAATAAGTGTAATTTTATGTGTTCATTATTTCAGCTTTTACACTTTTTTATTTAATCTTGGAAAAATGTCAACCAAGCTAAGTATCGGCCTGACTTTATACTTAGAAGAGCAAGCTGTACAGTGCAAGCTGTACAGTGCAAGCTGAACAGTGCAAGCTGTACAGTGCAAGCTGTACAGTGCAAGCTGTACAGTGCAAGCTGTACAGTGCAAGCTGTACAGTGCAAGCTGTAAAGTGCAAGCTTTACAGTGCAAGCTTTACGGTGCAAGCTGTACAGTAGAAGCTGTACAGTGCAAGCTGTACAGTGCAAGCTGTACAGTGCAAGCTGTACAGTATAAGCTGTACAGTGCAAGCTGTACAGTGAAAGCTGTACAGTGCAAGCTGTACAGTGCAAGTTGTACAGTATAAGCTGTACAGTGCAAGCTGTACAGTGTAAGCTGTATAGTATATACACTTGACAATATCAGGCCAAACTGTTGAATTGAAATGTTTAGTATTGTCGTCTTTATATTCAACTATTTATGTGTCCGATTGTATATTTATGTTATGTTCAGGCGACGTATAAAACTATCGACAACACGACTAGGATTGAAGTTACAGGAAACACGGAGCCAGGAAATAGAACCCTCAAGGTAATCAGTTTATCTTATAAATAAAATAATTTAAAGGAATTGAGTCTTTACCACAAACTCTGATTTTAAAATACCTATATCTTTGCAACCCAATGTCAAATTAAGCTTATTTTACAAAATGAATTTTGTTAGATCAAATAATGTAAGTTTTAAATTTCAAAGGTTTACACCGTCCATTAGGTTGCAATGATATAGGGATCAGAAAATTTGAATTTGTTGGCAAGGAACACAATTCCTTTTATTTTAAAGGGACTGTTCTGTAATTTTGAAATTACGGTAACAGTCCCTTTAATGTTATAAGTCAGGAACATTTTGTCCCTTTGAAGATTAAATTAGTTGAAGAAATCATTTTCTTTTCCTTTAAAGTTTTTAGCTTAAATTATTTGATGCTTTACAGAATACATGATGTATATTGTATATATTAAACAATTGGCATATTCATTGAATTTGCATAATTATATTACATGGGTTACCATGGTATATATTTATATACAGCAGGTGTACAGTACTTCATTCCTAAATATTTGGTTCTTTACATTTGTATATTTTTTTCCTAGTACTACTTGACTCTGTATATGTATATATTCATGTACAGCCGGTGTACAGTGCTGTATTCCTAGCTACTTGGTTCTGTACATGTATGTATTTTTGTACAGCAGGTGTGCAGTGCCCTATTCCTAACTACGTGGTCCTGTAAATGTATCTATTTATGTACAGCAGGTGTACAGTGCTCCGTTCCTAATTGCTTGGTTCTGTACATGTATATATTTATGTACAGCAGGTGTACAGTGCTCCGTTCCTAACTACTTGGATCTGTACTTGTATATATTTATGTACAGCAGGTGTACAGTGCTCCGTTCCTAACTACTTGGTTCTGTACAACCTGGACTCTCCTCTTCTTCCCTCTTTACATCATCTCAGTAGTCTCGTGTTCATGCTGCTGCAGAACCAAGGTACTTAATTGCAAAGTTTAGAAAAAAAATTAAGTTTCTTGATGAACTCGTATTAAAGGGACTGTTTTGACATTTCAAGCGATTCTCCATTTTAAACGGGTCATGCCCGATTCAGAACAGTTCCCTTGTATTAAGATAAATAATTGATATCTTCTTCATTGTTGATTAGACAAAACTGTTAAGATTACTTTTTAAACGGAGGTTTAATTGAAATTAAATGTACTGTCCCTTTAAACTTTTATTTCCTGATCCTTATATATTTACAAGCTATTGGTGTAAACCTTGACTATTTATAAATTTGACTCATTGATTTAGCAGAATTTATAGTTTAATATATCAGGTTACCAAGATGTTAGAATTAATCAGCAAACTAGTTTAGATAAGTTTCTTTGAAAGTTCTCTTTATCTTTGCAACCTGACGGTTTACCTTTTATGTTTCTAACTTTGACTACTCAATCTGACAGAATTCATAGTTTAAAAAAACTATGGCCTATGACAGCTTCAGGTTGCAAATATATTTAAAGATTTAAATTTGAGAAGAGTAATCGTCCGTTCTAATTAAACTATTTTCGTTTGACTAAATAATTGTAGTCAAATATTTTTCTATCAATGACACTTTTTCAGATCATATCTCATTTATTAAAGATTATTTTTAAGCAACAATTTAGTAATGCTTCAAAAATTATGAGGAAAAGTAAAATTACATCTTCAATCGAATCCAGTTGGAACAGTTTTACACGATTCTCCATTTCTTGATGAATATTGGAACAGTTATTCACGAATCTCTTCTTCTAGATAAAGATCGGAACAGTTATTCACGATTTTCTTCTTCTAGATAAAGATTGGAACAGTTATTACCGATTCTTTTCTTCTAGATAAAGATTGGAACAGTTATTCACGATGGTGCCAGGACAAACTCTGGAAAGAAAAACTCCTGAAAGACAAACTCCGGAAAGACAAACTCCGGAAAGACAAACACCTGACAAGACAAACTCCTGAAAATACAAACTCCTGAAAGACAAACTCCTGAAATTATGAAATTTTTCTCTGAATGAAACATGATAAAATTCATAAACTTTAGGAGAAAAAATCCGCAAATATCCTAGAAAAAATTCTCAATCTTTAGTAATTTGAATATGCTTAAAGCAGCAAAGTATTACAATGATCAGAATAACCAGCAAATTTCTTATTGTTTATTTTTTATTATTTAGGGTTAGGTTAGGTTAAGACACTTTCTGGGCCGAGCGCTGCGGCTAGGACGGNCCAGGGAAGGTTTATGAATCATCAAAATTTCAAATATTTGTCTCCATCAAAATTCGATCGTCATTAAATTTTTAAAAATTTTGAAAATCCGCGAAATTTTTTGTGAAAATCCGCGAATTATTTTTGTTTTGTTTTACGATGTACACAAAGAGAACATGTTCACAATTAATTTAGGAGATGGGCGCGAAGCGCCCTCTAAGGCTAGAAAGAAGGGCGCGAAGCGCCTTGAATTTCTAGTCTAGATAAAGATTGGAACAGTTATTCACGATTTTCTTCTTCTAGATAAAGATTGGAACAGTTATTCACGATTCTCTTCTTCTAGATAAAGATTGGAACAGTTATTCACGATTCTCTTCTTCTAGATAAAGATTGGAACAGTTATTCACGATTCTCTTCGAAGCTTCAAAGAAAAGGGTTTCACTTTAGGTAAGAAATTACGCTTGAAAAAGTAAAAAATCAAATAATTTAACACTCAAATTAATTTTTCAAGCACAATTGTGGTTTTCATGAACATTGGACTTTTTAAAATCAAAGTCTAACAGTTCCTACAGCTTTATGCTAACGACTGTAAATCGTTTACGTCAAAAACTAAAAAAGCTTTAAAATATAAGTTTAATTTAAATTAGAACGCCCCTTTAAGCGTGGCGAAAAACAGATGTTTATGCAATTCATTATACACCTATATAGTATATATATATATACATTTTATATAGTATTTACAATATATACAATATTACATACATTGTATGTATTGTATACATATTATGTGTACAATAAACTACTGCAGCAAACTTTAAGTCCCACCTGGGAACCCTTTATGCTTGCTTGTCCCTTCGGTATAATATATTCTATTACTTACACACTATAACTATTACTATACACACTACTATACATATACTACTATTACTATAGACTACTATTATATACACTATAACTATTACTATACACACTACTATACTATACTATTACTATAGACTATACTTTACACTACTACACTATTATACACACTACTATTACTATATACTACTACTATATACACTATAACTATATACTACTATTACTATATGCTATACACTACTCCACTATTATACACACTACTATTACTATAATATACTTTTATTCTCTACTATTACCATATACAACTAAACACTCTACTATCTATACTACACTACTATTACTCCACTACTTCGTTACTATAACACTATATATGTATAAAATTTATAAGTTCCTTAAGTTAATTATTATCATTATTGTTATTTTATTATTATTATTATTATTAACATTATTATAGGAAGTTTCCTGTTCCGTTGCCTATTATTCTGCCTATTGTCCGTCCTAACCAACTACCTGTATATCGCATCTTTAAGGTAAAAAAAGCTTAAACTTTGTCCATCAACTGTTCAAAGGGTTCCTTTGAAAAATTAACCTTTGTCCATCAAATGTTCAAAGTGTTCCTTTAAAAAATTAACCTTTGTCCATCAACTGGTCAAAGTGTTCCTTTGAAAAATTAACCTTTGTCCATCAACTGGTCAAAGTGTTCCTTTGAAAAATTAACCTTTGTCCATCAAAGAAAAAGCTCATGAATAAATTTAAATTGAAGGTTACGCTGCTTGTCTGTTTCTCAATTGTATTTTTAACAAATATAAAAAATAACAATAAACCCCGAATTGTACAGTGTACACTAGAAGAGAAGAAAGGAATAATATGTTCAAAAGTGATCAAAAAAAAGATCGATTCATCGAACACTCTGTTAGAATTGGTTTAAGTGCAAAAATTCAAGCTTCACCTAATTAATTAATAAAATAGAAATGCTATGAGATGGGCTCTGGTCAAGTTCTTCCATCAGAGTTTCCTCTGTCAATACGCATTTTTACGCGTCTGGGGTTGACTGTAAAATCCGCCCAGGTTTTGTGCTATTTATGATTCCTGTTTCCGAATTTAATGAATTTGAGCCGCGTCTTAAATCCGCCAAAAATCGGTTTTAATTCAGCGCCGGCTTAAATCTTGAAACAATAAATACGAATTTTAGTGGAACCAACCATATTTGAGCCGTGGTGTAAATTTAAGCCACGGCTCAAATTCTTTAAATTCGGCCTCTTGATATCAGCGGGTTCTGTGTCCTTTTTCTTTCCTTTTAGTCAGCAATTCAAATAGCATAGTCAACTATTATGATGAAGAATGATAAAGTTGCCATTTCTTACCACCAGATTGTGTTAAAGGGGCTCCGCGCCACGGTAACTTGCAGAATGGTGGTGGCGCTCTGACATTCCTAGTTATTGAGATATGAATCGTAAATAGGATGCTGGAGTGTACGGTAGTAACTGCTCTGTTCGCTACTAATGCTGGGTTTGTTTATTTACTCTCCTGGGTCATCCTTCACAATCAATTCGTCGGGGTCAGGGTAAGTTAATAATTAAACTAAAGGGAGAAATTGCAAAACAAAAGTCGTCTTTGTATGTATTAATACAATATAGAAGACTTTTGATTTCAATTTTTGAGTTCTACTAAGCTTTCAAACAGCATAGATACACATATAGACATGTAAACGAAGAGAAACAGGCAAATAATATCTTATTTTTATTTGCTCGTAAACTTGTTTTTTAAAAAAGCTTGTTAAAAAATCAAACTTAGACAGAAAAGTCGAAATCCCTTCTAACACCTATTGTTGTCTCCAGCCTCTAAAATTTAAATTTGGTGAGATATATTTAGAATTTTTTTTTTCTGAGTTCGTCCAATTTAACAATTTTAAGGTAATCCTATTTATTCTTATATAAGTGAAGAAGATTTCGAATTTTTATTTGAATTTTTATTTTGCGAATTAGATTTTTATATCTTCGTTTAAAGCAAACGGCCAGTAACCAGAAAATATTGATTGCTTGATTGATTGATTGATTAACTGATTAGTTGATGCAACTCTTGTAATTTTTTATATCCATGGTTTTATTTTTACATTCATGATAAATATATAAGTTTTTAATTTTGAAAAATGAGAATTTAATTTTAAATGTGATTTAACGCCAAAACCTGAATTTAAATTTAAACAGCACAGACAAGGAAAAAAGAGACGAATTTAAAATTATCATTAAGTTAAATTGTTCTATATGTTTATTGTAAGACTTTAAAATAAAAAAATCTAAAAGAAAAAATATATGTATAGTTAGGCTTTTAGGACTCTTCGCACCCATCTTCTATTTCAACTTTTAATTGTGTGGCTTTATCTGTGAGCATCTTCTCTTTTTTCAGTATGCAAAAAAGTTTGCGGATTTCATAATATTTTTGGCGCATCTTCAAAATTTTATAAAAATAAAAAACAATAATTTTTGAACTTTTGAGTCAGCCGTTTTGACGTTTATTGGATACAAACAAACAAACTAAATTCATATATAGATTGATTAGCATACGGCAGTGTCACATGATCATTTTTGTCAAATGTAATTTATAATAGCATTGTGTTATTTCCAAAGATATTTTTTGGAATTTTCAGAATTGAAATAGCATTAAACATCAAACCTCGATCTTATTGTTGTCTATTTTAATCTCAGTATCCTTAGATAATTTTACCAAATATTGTTGAAATATATTTAACCATATTAAACCAAATTATAACGTTCAACAACTAAAACAAGATTGGAATATTTACGGTCCCATGACATTAAGCTGTTTCTAGGGAAAATTATGAAAACCTTGCTGCACCAGATTAATTTTATCTCATCAGAGCTGAAAACTTTAGAATGGTGGATATCGGGATTAAGGCTTAATCCACTCTTTTTCTTAATCTCGAGATTAAATATTGCTTGTTCTCCACTCATTTTTAATCTCCAAATTAACTATCCGATCAGGATTAAGGATATCCCATTCTAAAGTTTTCAGCTCTGGATATAGAGGACGTGATGTCGATCTCTAATGAAACGCATAAAGTAACTTCCAGTATATATATTTCTTATAACTTATTACTAGAGGGTTCAAAACATGGTCAATTTCAAGATCACACGTGTTAGACTGAAAGTACAATGCCCCGTATCTCATTCCGGTGAATCTTGTGAAACTTGTTTTAGGCGGCCAGGCATCGTCTTCCACATTACCCCCCCCCCAGCGGAGAGGCCGGAGGCTGAAGGCGGAGGCTAGCGATAAAAAACTCTTTTAATGTTGATGCACTTTGGTTTAAAATCTTTGGTTTGAGTTTAAATGTCACTTTCTTCCTCTTTGGCGTAGCAACGGCGGAGGATTCTGCAACAACTTTCTGAGGTCGTCCTCTACGTCTAGGGGAGTCTGGAGTAACCGGAGGAGGCGCTACTGGAGCTTCATCATCTGCCGTGAAAGCTGGTTTGAGGCATTGAACTGAAACCACTTCTACTCTCTTGCCAACTTGGAGCTGAAAGGAGCGATTTGTATTTTTTTGTGATTTTTATATTGTCTAAACTAGTAATCTTCATGTAATAAATATTTGATTTGGTTTGAAAATAGGAGAATGAAAATTTGTTGTTTATCTCTATCTCTAATTTTTTTAAAGTTTTTATTTTTAACTTTATTATTTTCCAAGATTTTAAATATTTATAGTTTTTCCAAAGTTTTATTGCACGAAATCTTCTAAGTAAATCCTTGCAATTCTCTGAATTTGCAAACCAACCCTACTCAAGGACAAACACGTTCTACCATCTATATATATACTTTGCTTGTCTGTCTGTCTGTTTGTTTGTTTGTTTGAATCCAATAAACGTTGAAACGGCTGAACCGACCGGGCCCACATTTTGTTTGGGACCTCACATAACCCCAGGAAAAGGTTGATGAATGATCAAAATTTGAAAAATTAGCCTCCAACAAATTTTGATTTTCATTAAATTTTGAAAATCCATGAACTTTTTTTGTTTTACAATATATGCAAAGATGCATGATTACTTACCAAGGGGACACTGCAATCTAATAAATTATGAATAACTTCTCAAGAGTTACTGACCAAGGGGACACTGCAATCTAATAAATCATGAATAACTTCACAAGAGTTACTGACCAAGGGGGCACTGCAATCTAATAAATTATGAATAACTTCTCAAGATTTACTGACCAAGGGGACACTGCAATCTAATAAATTATGAATAACTTCTCAAGATTTACTGACCAAGGGGACACTGCAATCTAATAAATCATGAATAACTTCTCAAGAGTTACTGACCAAGGGGACACTGTAATTTAGACAGAAGATCAAATTTATGCGACATTAACCACTGGTACGATTTTGTGACCTCGTAGCTTCTTTAACCTTTATTTTACTTACAAGTATGAGAAAAATAAATTTATTCTGTTTTATATAAGAAGTTTAATACATTTTTGCTTTTCTCAATATCTCTTCAATTAAAGAAGTTTTGTTACGACATGCAATCAATGCAAAAATCCTAAGTTGGGGCCAAACGATCTATGAACTAAATTCTTGCCACAAACTCAAATTTTTTCTAATTCCTATATCTTTGCAACCGAATGGTGTAAACCCTTAATATTTTAAACATAGAAGGCTAACTGGTTGAAGAAGGTATCAGACCTCAGGCTGCAAAGAAATAGGTTTCAAAATATTAGAGTTTGAGCTCAGTTTTTTTCTGAATAGGATCCAAAATTCTCCATTCCTCTTAATTCCTTTTGTTATTTTGACACCTTTCAGATAAATATCAAAATATGCGGGACTTTCGATTGTTTTTTTTTTCACCAATAATTTATACAGAGAAAATTGCTTTAAATTGAAAATATAAAATAGAAATTCAAGTTTTTCAATATTCCGGAGGGGCACTGAGAGCCCTTCAAGTCTAATAGTTGCATTCTTTTGAATTCTTTTTCATTTAGTTTCTATTCCCGAGTTCTCTTGGATTTGAATTTATTCTTCAAAGAAACCCTAAATTTGAATCATAAATCTTGCCTCCATACCTCTATACTGTAACCTTCAAAGGTTGAGAATTTATTAACCATTAGGTTGGTAGAAACCTTTCATAAACATGTATTCTACTAGCTTTCATGTTTATTTTTTAAATTCTACATGAAAATATTGAGAGTTAAATGTAGCCATCTCTATATATTTTCTAATACACTGTTTGAAGAAAATAAAGTTATTTAATATTTTATCTAGATAGTAGCTGTGATACTTTGTAATACTGGTATAGCTCTCTTAGCCTACATGGACGGAGTAAACCACAACCAAACCTTGCTTGGTGTTGTCCTAGCCGCAGCTGCAGGTACAGTCATTACCGTAAAACTCTGGAATACAAAGGCGACTTTTAGACTTCAGTTATGACTTTAAATAGTCTAATGAACATGAAACACAGGAATTGTGTAGTGTAAACAGGCCAATTTTACTTTAAAAGTGGATTAATAAGTTACTTTAGTTTAGATTAATAAATTGCTTTGTTACAACTGCAAATATTCATAATTTTTGCCTTAATGTCGTCTTCCTATCCCTAAGTTTTCTGGTTCTCACTGAATGTTTAAGCTTTGTATTTTCAGCTGCCGGAAGTGCTGTTTACAAAGTAATGCTTAAGCTTTATATTTTCAGCTGCCGGAAGTGCTGTTTACAAAGTAAGGTTTAAGCGTTATATTTTCAGCTGCCGGAAGTGCTGTTTACAAAGTATTGTTTAAGTTTATATTTTCAGCTGCCGGAAGTGCTGTTTACAAAGTAATGTTTAAGTTTATATTTTCAGCTGCCGGAAGTGCTGTTTATAAAGTAATGTTTAAGCTTTATATTTTCAGCTGCCGGAAGTGCTGTTTACAAAGTAAGGTTTAAGCGTTATATTTTCAGCTGCCGGAAGTGCTGTTTATAAAGTATGTTTAAGCTTTATATTTTCAGCTGCCGGAAGTGCTGTTTATAAAGTAATGTTTAAGCTTTATATTTTCAGCTGCTGGGAGTGCTGTTTATTTAAAGTATGTTTAAGCTTTATATTTTCAGCTGCTGGGAGTGCTGTTTATTTAAAGTATGTTTAAGCTTTATATTTTCAGCTGCTGGGAGTGCTGTTTATAAAGTAATGTTTAAGCGAGTGATTGGTGAAGTGAGTTTTGGCCAGGTAATCTTCAAGTCAGCATTTTCATCATTTTAATCTAATTCTTTCAGAAAACAGGTCTTAGATAATAAATCTTTACATTTTGTAATGCGTAATTTCTGCAACCAATTTCTTTGTAATTATAATTACTGATTAGTTTGACCAGGTTTTAAACTCCTGTTGACCAAACATTAATACGGTTCATGGACAACATTTTTTTAAACGAACGAAAATTACTTAAACAATAAGCTGCATGCCGGATAAAGATGTAACTAGAATTGGAACAAAGGTTATTTAAAAAATATTTTTCTATATTATACATATTGTAGGTTGCTCTTCTACTGAAACTATAGTGAATACATATTGTAGGTTGCTCTTCTACTGAAACTATAGTGAATACATATTGTAGGTTGCTCTGTTCTTCTCTTTGGTTGGACTACTAAATGCTGTTGTACTCTGGCCTCTTGTCATACTTCTCTACGTTACAGGGGCCGGTAAGCAAATACAGGAGTGTTCACGATTTCCGATTAAAAAAGGGATTTAAGCCTACTTGAGGAATAAACTATAATTCTAATTAAGTTAAGTATATTCAGGGTTATTCACAAAGGATGAGACTGTAAATACGACATAAAACTCTTGAAATCTTACACTTCCAAGGTTCAATTAAGTTTTATGCCTTAAATATAACAGTTTTATGGCTTATTCAATGATAAGGCAAAGAAAGAAGCAGGATTACAGTTGCTGGGAATCATAAATTTAAGTAACATACAGTAAAAATTCTGTACAGTCGTCTCTGAAGTCTCAACCTTGGTGGGTCACCCCGTATTTATTTACTGGATGTACACTGAGTATAAACAAATACTCAACACCATGCAAGAATTTGCAAACCCCATTTTAATCTTAAAATAAAACAAAAAACTAGAAAGGCAAAACTCGATCAAAACATGTCAATATGAACAAAAGTGAAAATATCGATAGTTCCGATGACGGTAGTTCAAGTGAGTAACCACCAAAATATATCACTTGTGGATATCTAAAGTGCAGATTTTCAACAAGGTACAAATACGAAATATATAAATAAGAGTTTACTTTTACATGGTTTACAGTTACCCATCGTCTATAAATCACACTTTGTCATTTTTAGGTTAAATAAATGTATAAGATTAAGTAAAAATGTGAATGTCGTCTTCTATAAACCAGTGCCGATTTCCGAGTTTTGCACTATACTTTTGCAGGGGGTCAAGGAAGATACACTGCTTTATATTATTACAAGCTTACGCAGATTTAACAGTAAAGAACGAACAATTGTACTGAACAATCGTTCAGTGAGATAAGGAACGACATTTTTAGAAAATGAACGACAATTTTTAGAATATAAATAGGAAATAAATTTTCTTAACGATTTAAATCAATCGAACAAAATGGGTCTGAAAAAAGCTGATCGCGACATTCTCTAATTATAGCTGTGTACTTCCTTGAGTTTAAGGCTATTTTTAAAATCTGAAAACTTCCTTGCCAAGGTATTCAAAATTAATTTTCTTCAACAACAAAACTTTTAAAACCAAAGTTATACAGGGTCGAAGAGAAAAAATTAATACCTATGACATCCCTCAGACCCGCCCCCCCCAGTCCCAAGATAAAAAAAAACTTGGATAGGGCACATGGTGAAATATATATAATTATTGATGAAAAGATAACAAACTCGAATCTAATCTTATATCTGTCCAACCTGTTACCTGATGACGAAAACCTTAGACATTTTAAACTTAGATTATTTGATCAAACAGAATCCCCCCCCCCCTCCACTTATTTGAAGAAGTGATTCTTCTGAATCATTTGTAACAAGTTCTAACAACCTAAATTTTAAAATATTTACAAATAATGTCAAGCCACGGAAAAGTTTAAAAAGTACGATATATATCCAGTCTCTCCAATATTCTTTGTAAAGTTGAAAACGGAAATAAATCAGGAAGAAAGAAATGAATGTCAAATTTATCCCATTATTGTTAATTCTAAAACATTTTCAGAATTTAAAGTTTAACCGACGAGCTTTCTCCAATAGTTTCATGTTTAGTTATCTAATTTTAGAAAAGACAAGGCAGCTGGAAGTAACATTTTCAATTTCATTTAACAATTTATTTTTGCATTCACACTTCTGCTAATTTTTTCTTTTCTTTTAGAAGTTGTTGATGTCACTCTCATTCCTTGGTTGGAGTTATGCAGTGCCGCAGCTCTTTCGTTAGGTAAGCTAGTTGTTAACTGCCATTCTCTTCTCCGCCATTTTATTTCCCGCCATTTTGTTCCTCGTCAATTTATTTCCCGCCATTCATTTAAATCCCCAAAATTTTGTTTCCCGCCATTTTGTGTTCAACGATTTTGTTTCCAGGTATTCTGTTTATTTGTTCTCAAGAATTAAAAATATATCTATCCCACTTATGCAAACTAATAAAAACCATAAATATTTATCCATATCTATCTCCATTAAATGCATATAATCAAAAATTAAGTTTTTTTTAAATGTTATTTTTAGGTGCCAATCTTCTTGCTAATTTGAGTATTATCATAACTTACGAAAACTTCATCACATTTGGTTTGGTAACAGCTATACCAGTTTGTGCAGGTAAATACTTTTGTTATTTTAAGATTTATTTAACAAATCCCAAGAATGATATATAACATGGAACTTAAATTTCATTGTTCACAAACTTAGTCACCCCATGAACTGACCAAGGTTCTAGGGTTTTAATTTTATCACGTTTTGGTCTATAATTCAATCTGAAAAAAAGATTGTCATAATTATAACGTTTCTATTTAAAACACATCCGCCGTTTAAAAGTATAAAAGACAATAATTGCGAACAAAATTTATGTTGAATTTGTCACATTGTGATATAGCTTGGTGGGACAAGACTATAACGGTGCTTAGTTTGTTTACATAATGTTTACATCTTCAGTACATATTGTTTACATCTTCAGTACACATTGTTTACATCTTCAGTACACACATTGTTTCCATCTTCAGTACACATGGTTTACATCTTCAGTACACATTGTTTACATCTTCAGTACATATTGTTTACATCTTCAGTACACATTATTTACATCTTCAGTACACATTGTTTACATCTTCAGTACACATTGTTTACATCTTCAGTACACATTGTTTACATCTTCAGTACACATTGTTTACATCTTCAGTACACATTGTTTACATCTTCAGTACACATTGTTTACATCTTCAGTACACATTGTTTACATCTTCAGTACACATTGTTTACATCTTCAGTACACAGTACACATTGTTTACATCTTCAGTACACATTGCTTACATCTTCAGTACACATTGTTTACATCTTCAGTACACATTGTTTACATCTTCAGTACACATTGTTTGGATTATTTTCCTGGAAAACTCCTAAATGAGCATGAAAGGATTTGAGTTTTTGCCACAAACTCTGATTTCCAATTCCTATAACTTTGCAACTCGTTTTCCAAGACCTCTGATATTTCAAACTATTAATTCTGTTAGATCAAATAGTCTAAGCTTGAAATATCAGAAGTTTACACCATAAAGTTGCAAAGATATAGGGGTTAGAAAATGAGAGTTTGTGGCAAAAACTCAATTCTTTTTCGTATGAAAATAATTCTTCATAATTCGTTTAACTTTCTAAGATATAAAAGCTAAAAGAAAGAATATGTTGCATTGAATCAAAGGTTTCAAGTTCTTTTTTAAGATTTAAATATTTTGTTAATGTTTTCTTTTGTTACAATTATGTAAAATATATATTATTACAGAAATTTTTTGAAAATATTTCATTATGATTGAAAAAAACATTATAAATTGTTATGAATAAAACTGATTTAAAAACTATGCTTAAATCTTGAAGTATAAATCATTATTTTTCTATTTCTATTTTAGTTTATGATGTTGTGTACAATGGAGTTGAATTCTACGACATGAAGTTGGCCGGCGTGCTGATCGTCTGTATAGGGTTCGTTCTTGTTCTCTTCCCGGCCAATTGGTCCCAAATCCTAGCTTCAATTGTCAGGTAATCAGATTAACTGGGTTAAAGGGACTGTTTACGTAGTTTCAATTGTCAGGTAGACAGACAAACTAGTTTAAAGGGACTGTTCACGTAGTTTCAATTGGCAGGTAGACAGACAAACTGGGTTAGAGGGACTGTTTACGTAGTTTCAATTTCCAGGTAGACAGATAAACTGGGTTAAAGGAACTGTTTACGTAGTTTCAATTGTCAGGTAGACAGATAAACTTGTTTAATGGGACTGTTTACGTAGTTTCAATTGACAGGTAGATAGATAAACTGGTTTAAAGGGACTGTATTCGAAGTTTCAAGTCATTTCATTCGTAAAGTGACTGCTCTGGTCCGATTTACAATTTACCTTTAAGACCTTTTTCTGATCTGTAGAATGCTTGAGCTGTATCCAAAATTTTCTCGTTGAAAATTTAATACTTTCCATTGTGGGTTTTCTGTAAAGTGGCTTGCGGATTTCCGCTTAAGAAGCAAAGGAGAATATTCTCAGAATTAAACATTTTTCAAGCTAAAAATCGATATTTTCCACATATTGTGGACCAGATATAGGTTTGCAGGGTCCGTTGCAGGGTCACTTTACATAACATGACACTAAATTACAATAACAGTCCCTTTAATACCTTGTAAATATTATTGTATCTAGTCGCATTCGCATTAAATGTCAAAATAGAATATTTCATCAAAAATATATCTTTTATGTTTGCAAATATTTTCACATTAAAATCTAGTTCTTTTTAATTATTTAATTTCTTAGTTAGAATATATTGATGTACTGTAGTTATCTATGTCATGTATAAAGGAATTTAAGTCTTACTGGAAAAAAAATATTAAAACTAAAAAATGTGCGACTGTATGTCCAATTATAATTTTTCTAAATGGTAAAACAAATGTAAAAGCTTTTTTAAATTTTAGTCAACAATTGGAAAAATTTATGAAATAGATGCATGTCACTGTAGTTCTTATGTAATTAGAAAACCCAAGGAATCCTCCATTAAAGAAGAAAATGGCGGACTAAAAGCGGAAATAGAAGACTCTATGGGTAACGCGACAGGTGCCGCGGTTTTATGTCTGCTTCTAGGTGAAACACTGGCTTGATATTTCTGATTGAAATGCACGAAACACTTGCGTGTTATCACAGATTAATAACAATACAGATAGAACACTATATGTCGTCTTTTCAAGATTTAAGGGTTTTTTTGTTCACAATAATCCTGTGGAAGAAGCCTAAAGGAGTTCCACGCAGGCAGTGCTGAATTACAAGACAAACAGAGAGCATACGCGTAGCTCCTTTGGGCCTCTGCTTCAGGGTTATTGTGAGCGAAACCCCCCCAAATCTTGAAAAGACGACTCCAATTGTTCTATCTGTATTGTTATTAATCTTTGCGTTTTATTAACAAAAGAGAGAGTAACAGTCTACAGAGCTAGAACTTAGTCTTACAGGATTTTACCAAATACGGTTCCGTTCTTACCCTCCATGCATGCACTTCTCAGATATGGTAGACTTGCAGATGATTTTCATTTATTTACTATGGAATAGGAAGGCGACATTTCAGAAATATTTCGTAAATTTTATGTTGTTTCAAAACAATTATTTTACCAATATCTTACAAATCAAGTTATTAAGGGAAAAAGGTCTACGTTTAATGTACAATTACTATAATATACCGTTCTATTTATAACCAGAACATGAGTCTCATAGTTGTCTTATTATTTCATAGTTTAATGTACAATGACTATAATATACCGTTCTATTTATAACCAGAACATGAGTCTCATAGTTATCTTATTATTTCATAGTTTAATTGGTTCACTGGTCTAATACCATAAAATCTTAATATTTCTTGAATCTGTTTTAGACTCATAATTTTTGCATATATATTTATAATCGCGTAATAGCGCACTGTTTGTGTCAAGCAATAAAGATATACTAAGAGCTACATATCAGTGCAAAATAAGTTACTGCAGTAAGCTTTTATGTAAAGGACGATTTATGTGTTCCTGGTTTATCTTTCTTGGTCGCAAGTATCTTCCTATCACTGCATGTTATACACTGAATTAAGTTTGGCGCAATCCATCAATTTATTTTAACTTTCTACAGAAAACTCCCGAGCGGCTCTCCCACGCTAAACTGAAGTAAACTTCACGTAGATTGAAATCTTAAATGTTTTCATTCCTGACTCCTCTTTTTGAAAAGCTATTGTAAAAGAACAAAAGTGTTTTTAATTTTAACATAACCGGATAAATTAAAGGGCATTCTAATTTTCTAAAACTTTACAAAATCAAAAGCTTTAGCACACAAATTTTTGTAATTTTGGGCTTCCATAAACTTCCATGGGAGGTCCCACACAAAATTTGGGCCCGATCGGTTAAGCCGTTTTGACACTTATTGGATAAAAACAGACAGCAGACAGACAAACAGACACCAAGACAAGCAAAGTATATTTATAGATGATATATATCTGAAAAGCAATAATCAGAGCAGCTTCTCAGCTTTAATGTTTGACAACAAAAATTATGAATTTTCTAATTTCTTTTATAAATATACACATATAGCTAGGTAGAATAATGTTTTATTACAGAGTACATGTTCGTAAAAGCTAAAATTACTTTTGCCTTTGGTTGCATGAAACAAGTTGACATTTAAACTTGTTTAAGTTATTCCTTCTTCCAATCCACTGCAAATTTTAAACAGCTAAATGGTTTGAAGTTTTGTAAGAAATATGATTTTCTAATTTATATTTAAAACAAATAATCTAAGTTTGAAATATCAAGGATTTACATCACCATTTTGCAAAGAAATAGGAAATGGCGCTAGTCTGGTATGAGAAAGCCAGTCGCACTGCTTTGCAGACAAGTTCGGTAAACCTTACACACACTCTTTTGGTACAGACACACACCATGACTACAATCAAGAAAATTGCAGAACAATGTTGTCAATTATAATTAATCTTGAATAACGACTAGTTTTTTGTAAACTTTAATCAAATTATATTCTTTGCATGCAAATTAGGCTTTATAGTGTTGACTTAAATATATAAATAATATGCTTTACATGTATAGTAAACTTATTTTTAAGTAAACAATTAACAATAAACAAATGTACTCTCCTAGACTGTACAAATACCAAGATTCGTATGTACCGTATAAACCTACAGTACATACCTTCGGTTCGGTAAACTTTACACACACTCTTTTGGTACAGACACACACACATGACGTTTCCGCCCCCTGGGGATATTTTATCCAAACTTATTTCTACTCCCCGACTTGAGCCCTCTAATACGCCTAAATCTTTAATCAATAGATTAGTAAATTAAAAGGTTTATTTTTTACCTTTTTTAATTTAAAATCTTTTCTATCCGATGTGCAATGTTATAGAAGCCCTAGAGGGGTTCCAGGTGAAACATATACTTTCATAGATCACGTAAAACCAGGGAGTAAGGAATAGAAGGGAGATATAACTGACGCGGTTCGCCCTACCATATGATTATATATGCTTTGCAGACGAGTACTCCATTTGAATAAGAAATATTTGTCTGGTGTACAATTACCGCGTATACAATAAACTATTCTGAATATTTCTTATACAAATGGAGTACCCGTCTGCAAAGGATGTAATCATATGGTAGGGCGAACCGCGTCAGTTGTATCTCCCTTCTATTCTCTACTCCCTGCGTAAAACAAGTAAACTTAGCTATACTTTGCTACAAGGTGTTCCAATAAACATAGGAATTTAGAGACGACATTAAAATACAATGCATTATATACAGTGTATTAAAATACAATGCATTATATACAGTGTATTAAAATACAATGCATTATATACAGTGTATTAAAAATTTTCATACATCTAAGCTTTCCAAAATAATTTTTATCTTAAAATTATTGTAAATATTTTCTAAAGATTTTGACCATTATGATTTTATTTCAAAGTATAAAATTTCGGCAAGCTTTCTAAATTTGCAATCTCTTTCTTTTATTCTGTTCACGTTCAGAATTATAATACAGTACAACCCGGAAGTATCGAAAGAATTTATAAAATGTCGTTTTCTAAACCTTCTGATAATGGAATGTTGCAGATATTTAGCTTTTAAAAACTGTTTGGCCGCATATTTCATGGCTATTTATTTATTTTACTATAAATTTAGGTATGCATTGAAAACTGTCAGGAAAACATTTTAAGTTCTGAATTAAACTGTATGACACAGTTCTTGCTCTGAATTATGAATAAGTAATCCTTTTTTTATTTTCTAGTTGAGTCTAGTTCTAGAATTTTCTTTTCTTTTTTATAGCCATGAATATTGTAAGACAAGAAATAAATGTAGAAACATTATTACAATGTCACATTTATTAACTACAGTTATTGTTGCTGGAAATTTGGTTGTCAGAAACATAGATTTTTTTAAGTAACAGTGTTAGGGAGGGCCTGCAGCGCCCTGATGGAGAAAAACTGCAAGGGTGGGACCACAGGATGGATTGTTTTTTGGTTATTTTTTACAAGTGTTATTGCGTAGAATGTTATTAATTGCATGCAAATATTTTATAAAATTAACAATATTAAACGCTTGTGTTCTCCAATTCTAAATTTGGTAATGCTAAGAAGAAATGTTTTTTTTTCATGTTACCTTAATTTCAATTGAGACGGCCACCCATTTACCTTATCACGATGGGGGGGGGGGTGTTTATTAACCCACTCTCCCCTGTGGTTTTTTTTCTTGCCTACACTTCTTCAAAATAATTACAAAAAAGAGCGATATAACAAAAATCTGAATTGGTGCCCCCAACCTATTTAGAGTTTAGAGTTTAGAGGGCTTTAACTGTAATTTCAAGTAGAGTTGTTGTAGAGTGACATGACCGATTCACAGCAGTAACTTTTAAACCTTTGACTGATCAAGGATGTCTTGTTTTTTCTTATTAATTTACAATAACCCTTTGTTATTGTTCAATACTTGAATTTGATATTTAAGAAATATTAATATTTCTTTTCTAAGAAATATTAATATTTCTTTTCTAAAAGTGGCAAAAAATATATTTACATTTGAAGTTTTGAGAATCACGTTTGACATAGAAAATTTGGTATTTGCGTCATTTTTTATTTTCATCAGCTGCGTTGATTTCACACCGTACGCTAGCGTACACTTAGTGGTGGGACATTGCGGTTCGTTTTTGAGCTTTTTACATTTTTAAAAGGTAGCACACGTTGAACTTCTAACATTTCATTAGGCTTTGCAATATTTTTAACCTAAGAGAAAATATTAGGGAAAAACGAACCAAAAAAGGATGTTTTAAAAAGATCATTGTTAGGTCGTCTTTGGTCCGTATGTAGCAAAGAGCGGGTAAACATGATATATATATTTGGTGAAATTTGATATTTTTTTCCAAAAACAGAGGGTCGGAGAAAGTCGGCCCGGCGCCTAAGACTAGGTTCCCGACTCTAAGATTCTACTCGGGCTCTGTAAACTTGCAGTAAGTTGTATGTCATAAATGATTTAAAGTTTTAAACTTTAAGACATTATTCATTGAAACTGCGTTTCAAAGGAATACTTAACATGATTAACTCAAATCATGCGACATACTTAAATTACGCTATAAAATATGGGCAGAGAAGATTTACTGTGTTATATCTATTCTCTTTAATACTTTAATTACATACCTTAAACTTTAACTGTGCGATAAATACGTGATACAATGGTCTTAATCTTGTTCAATAACATCGTAGGAATTGAATTACGTCAATTCCTGTTAACTTTGTAACCTAAGCTATTAAATAAAGTTGGTTGATTGAAACTTTGCTTTCGATTACGTTATCAGAAGCCTAAGTTAGCTTGAGAGAAAGCTTTAGTACTCGTTGAATTATACGAGTTGAGAAATTGCCTGTGTAGCAATTTCTTTGGACTGTGTGTCCTTTAGAACCGGGGAGTGTAGCCTGGTTAAGATTTGGCCTGTATGTCATCTAGAACCGCGGGGATTGAAGCCTGGTTGAGAAATTGCCTGTGTAGCAATTTAATTGGACAGCGTTCCTTTAGAACTGGGGAGTTAAGCCTGGTTGAGATTTGAACTGGGGAATCAAGCCTGGTTGAGATTTTGGCCTGTGTTTTATTTAGAGCTTGGGAGTTAATCCTGGTTGAGATATTGCCTGAGTGACCTTTAGAATCGGAGAATTTAGTTCTGGTTAATCTTGGTAACGAGTAGACCTGGATAGATACGTTTCGAGTAAATTGTTATGGAGTAGGTATTTCCTAAGCGTATTTGCAATTTTTTTCGGTCAGGGTCAAAATTTGAAGTCCTAAAACTCTTAACAATATTTAAAAACCAACAAAGTGTTGTCCCATCATTATACGTACGCTCTCGTTTTACGGGAATTTGAACACTATTTGAGAGATAAACACACAGTTTACTCTGGCCTCGACAATCAGTCAAAGGTTAAAAAGGTAACGTTGTAAATTGGCAGTTGCCATCTTTGCTTCGAGGCTCACTATGAATAACGCTGACAGACCCTTTATAAAGATCGTTTTTTCTTGAGAAAAGAATTAAATATTCTTTTGTTGAATTAATTTATGAAGTTGGTTCTCAGTTATTCTTTTTATGGAAGATTTTATACCTGGTTTTACAAAGAAGTTAATAACTTTAAAATAAAAACTCTCAAGTAATACAGTCACTGTTTATACAGGGTGTTGTTTTCACAAGAAATGTTTATTTTTGTATTTAATAATAAAAATATGGTTTGGTTTTCAAAAGTTAGAAAAGATATTTTGAATTTCCAACCTCATGTTTCGTATCAAAGTGGTTTGTTCTTCTACAGGGTGTCCTACCAAACAGGACGGTTTGTTCTTCTACAGGGTGTCCTACCAAACAGGACAGTTTGTTCTTCTACAGGGTATCCTACCAAACAGAACAGTTTGTAAAAAGTTCTGAATGTCTTCTTCCATTTACCGTTTTAGATGTTAAAGACTTTTTGCAGTTATTTTCGTTAAACAAATCTTTTACTCAGATATATTTCACTTTAACATTAATTTAACTATTATATGACTGCCATACAATATTTTTATTATTATCTTCGGTATAAGACAACTTGGAATATTATTACAGAAGACATTTTAAACTATTCACCAACTGCTAGACTAAAATACGGTAATTGTAAACATGGACAGATCAATTTAAATTAATCAATTATGTTTCAAGCTACTTCTAAAACTAATTACTTTATAACAAAAACAAACATCCTCTACACAAATAAAATTGCTTAAATGTAATTTTCCTATTCCACAGTTACCTAGGTCCAACAGTTCAATTACAAAAAAATATTACATAATACATTATAAATAAATAATAACAAAGGATTTGGATAAGCATATAAAACGCATTTATAATCCATACTAATGCAAGTTACTTAAATAGAGGGTAAATCAACAAAGCTGTCAAAAATTTGTTTAAAGTGGAATAAACATTAAAAATAAGATTTAAAATTTTTATCAAAATTAATCTATTATTTAGATGGGGAAGAAGAAAAAAGCAAGACACAGACAGATCTAATCAATCCGTCCCAGACCTCAGGAAATTTAAATATTTTTTCAAGCAATTTTTTCCACATTTCTTTGGGCACTGATGCCTTGTGAAAGTTAATAAATTTTCAGAATTTATTAACTTGGGAGAGAACTAGCTGAACTCCAGAATAAAATAGCCCTTCATAAATGTCTGTCCCCTGCTTTTAGCCTTAAACAATCATAGCTTCTTAGAATTATTGTCAATAATGACCCATCCTTCAATAGTTCATGTTAAACGTTTATTCAATAATTTTTAATGATTAACCCTCTTCAAAAATCAAATGTTAAATTAATTGTAATTCTCGAAGATTTTATTTCAAGACACACACAAATTAAATGAGTCTTTGCCACAAACTCTAACTTTCTTAATCCCATTATCTTTGCAACTCAATGTCGTGGATCGTTGATATTTCAAACTATAAATTATGTTAGATCAGGCAATTTAAGTTTGAAATATCAAAGGTTTACACCATTACAGGTTAATAAGGTAGAGGAATGAGCAAATTTAAGTTTGTGGTAAAGACTGAATTTCTTTGGTTTACAATGAAATGAATAAAAAATATTTGAAGTAGAACGGGACATATTGGATCAAGATTGCGGTCACCCTCTGGTAGGGTGAGATGAAACCTACTAATGAAACTGTAGCAGGGTGAGATGAAACCACTAATGAATCTAGAGAAGGGTGAGATGAAACCTACCAATGAAACTGTAGCAGGGTGAGATGAAACCACTAATGAATCTAGATAAGGGTGAGATGAAACCAACAAATTAAACTAATGAAACTTACCAATGAAACTATAGTAGGGTGAGATGAAACCACAATTGAATCAAGAGAAGGGTGAGATGAAACCTACAAATTAAACTGTAGTAGGAAAACCTACAAATGAAACTATAGTAGGATGAGATGAAACCTACTAATGAAACTGTAGTTGTGTGAGATGAAACCACAAATGAATCTAGAAAAGGGTGAGATGAAACCTACCAATGAAACTGTAGTAGGGTAAGATGAAACCACTAATGAAACTATAGTAGGATGAGATGATACCACTAATAAATCTAGAGAAGGGTGAGATGAAACCTACTAATGAAACTTTAGTAGGGTGAGATGAAACCTACTAATGAAACTATAGTTGGGTGAAATGAAACCTACTAATGAAACTATAGGATGGTGGGATGAAAATACTAATGAATCTATTTTAGAGTGATATGAAACCTACTAATGAAACTATAGTAGGGTTAGATGAAACCTACTAATGAATCTATGGTAGGGTTAGATGAAACCACTAATGAAACTATAGTAGGGTGAGATGAAACCTACTAATGAAACTATAGTAGGGTTAGATGAAACCTACTAATGAATCTATCGTAGGGTTAGATAAAACCTAGTAATGAATCTATAGTAGAGTGAGATGAAACCTTCTAATGAATCTATTGTAGGGTGATATGAAACCTACTAATGAAACTATCGTAGGGTTAGATAAAACCTAGTAATGAAACTATAGTAGAGTGAGATGAAACCTACTAATGAATCTATTGTAGGGTGATATAAACCTACTAATGAATCTATTGTAGGGTGATATGAAACCTACTAATGAAACTATAGTAGGGTTAGATGAAACCTAGTTTTGATGAAGCTATTGCTATCAAAATGAACAAAGCTGTAGATAATTAAATATTTTTTTGTTTGGCAAAGATTTGAAATATGAAAAGATGGAGACCAAAGTGCAATTTAGTATTTATAGAAATATTAAAGCAAGAACATTTATAGTTGTATTTGCTTGTTCTCTTTGTTTCGAAAGAGACTGTCAACGTAATTCCAAGTGACGCAAATTAAATAATTGCTTCACTAATTCATTCCTAACTAATTTATCTGAGATACATTGAGGAAGATATCGCCGTTTTACTTAATCTTAAATTTATTCCGTCCGTTTCATTCTTTGACTCTACACAGTTGAAAATTATTCAGTTTGAACATTTGATGGAGATGTAAACGACATTTCAAGTGGCCCTCCAGATTGGCAAAACCCGATTTAATCATGTACCCTTTAAAGCTTTGTCTGATCAAGGATAAATTAGATATCCATTTATTCGGTTTCTCTAAACTGATTATTTTCATTTGTTGTTTAGGAAAGTGCTGTTAGCATATCTTGGTTTATAAATAATGGAAAAATTATCAGAGCTAAAAAATTTAGAATGAGATATCCTTAATCACTATCGCTTAATCCGATTATCCAATGTATACACTTTTGTATTTTCTTCTTAATCTTCTTTCTTTTGAATATCCCTTCTGTATAAAAGTTACGTTTGATAACAATTACAGATACAATGCTATATCGATTGGACTAATATCCGATTGAATTAAAGTCATTTCGTCTGATCAAGGATAAATTAGATATCTATTTATTCGGTTTCTGTAAACTGATTATTTTCATCTGTTGTTTAGGAAAGTGCTGTTAGCATATCTTGGTTTATAAATAATGGAAAAATTATCAGAGCTAAAAACTTTAGAATGAGATATCCTTAATCACTATCGCTTAATCCGATGATCCAATGTATACACTTTTGTATTTTCTTCTTAATCTTCTTTTTTTGAATATCCCTTCTGTATAAAAGTTACGTTTGATAACAATTACAGATACAATGCTATATCGATTGGACTAATATCCGATTGAATTAAAGTCAGCTTTTCACAAGCCGGCTTTTAGAGCAATTTAAACTAATATAAATTTATTCATGTTAATATGAACCAGAACTTATTAAAAAACATATTTTATCACGTTTCAGGACTTTTGTCATTTTGAACGTTAGTCTTAATAAACATTAATCCAAATTTACTTTCGTTCAATTGATCTTTAGTTCAATTGATATGACACCATCAACACCAGAAATAAAACCGGTTTTTCGAAAGTTAAATACATATTAACATGACTCGCTGATTGGTTAAATTATAAACTTCTTTCTTGGATATCGAATACGTATTAAAATAATCTAAGGTTTAGTAAAACCAGGAGTTTAAGGATTAATCTTGAATCCACCATTCTAAAGTTTTCAGCTCAGAATTAAACACTTTTCAAGTAAAAAACGACGCCATCTTTTATAACATTAATGTTCCGCTTGAAATGAAGAGTCCCACGTAGTTCCATTACGTACAAGATGTCAATTACAGAGAAAAATCCATTAAATCCAACTCTAATTATATGAGTGATAGATTTAGGGTCGTCTTTACAACTGCATTCCACTTTATTTTAAAGATAAAAAATTAAGAAAGTGCACTCTAAAAATAATTATATTTTGACTTTATTTTTTTGGAGTCGTCGCCTTAGTTGTAAATTATTTAAATTATTTAAAAAGACACTTTGGTCTGATCTTAATGGATCTAAAGAGTTCTTCTTAACAATGGAAAAGAGCAATTGTTATTCTTCTATATTAACAGTTTATCCTACAGTGATAACCAGAAAACTCCGAACAAGAAGTCGACTTTTAGACTTTTAGACTTTTAGACTTTTAGACTTTTAGACTTTTAGACTTTTAGGCTCGAGTTATAAAGTTTAAATAGTCTAATAAACACGAGACACAGCAATTGTGCAGTGAAAACAGATTCATTTAACTTAATATTTGATTTGAGAACTTACTATTTGCTTTATAACAACATCAACTGCACTTTAGTATTGCTTTAATATCGTCTTCCTATTCTACAGTTTTCTGACTATCACTGCACTAAACATGAAAATGAATGAATGACGACTTTGAATAATTTTTAGTGTGAATGAAGTGCTTTCTTGCAGAACTTTTATTATATAAAGTTCTGCTTTATGTTTTGAAGGGAACTGGTAACTATAGTAAGTATAATTAATATCAAAATTTACGTCTTTAAATTGCCTTATTTATTGCATATTTATCAACTATATATAAATATTTTAAAATGTACCAGTTCAACATAGATTTAACAGATAGGACAAAAAATGATGTAAAATTATANTCAACTATATATATATATTTTAAAATGTACCAGTTCAACATAGATTTAACAGATAGGACAAAAAATGATGTAAAATTATATTATTTTCTGGAATTTTGTGATGATAACATTTAATTAGTCAAACAAGCCAACACCAGGAAAATATGGGCACAAACTGGATTTTATGAGGCACTAACTGTACCCCTTTAGAAATAAAACTAACAAAAACTTTTCATCTTTTGTCCGATCTTTAAAATCTCTGGATAAGTCAACAAAATATAAACGAATTTGTTAAAACTACGTCTCTCACTTCTCTCTTAATTTGACTATAGCTCATTTCACCATTCTTCTGAAGAAATCCATTTTCCTAATCCTGGAAAATTAAGAATCTTATTTTTTCCAATTTAAAGATATTCATGGCGATTTATTTCAGCTGTAAATTTAATTTTACTATTTTAATAATCACAACTTTGTTCCCAAGCCAAATAAATTGCTAAATGGTTTTACATTAGAAAGTAATGAAGGTAGTTTTACTTAATTGAATATACTGTTTACTTTAGTAAAATAACATCAAAATATTCTAATAAAAATCCTAAACATCATAGTAACCGTAAACTCTTAATTTCCCTGTTTAGTAAAGTTGTAAATAATTATAATGTACTGCAAAGTAATTGGATGTAATTTGTACAAAAATTGCACTGTGAATATTTAGCCAAATATAATAGAAATGTGTAATTAATTAGATTTTTAATTAAAGAATTTATTGAAATAAATAGATTTTAAATGTCGTCTTCCGTTAAAACATTTTAAGGATTTAATGATTATGTAGAGCAAATAGATTGTCAAGTACTTAACAATCTATTTGATTTACAGGATAAACTACAAAAGATGAGACTGTAAAGACGACCGGAAGCTCTTAAAATATGACGATCTCATGTTTAAATTAAGTTTTCTGTCTTTATTGTATTATTTCAATGGTTTATTTAATGATTTCTCTGCAGATTAACAAAAGATCGAGACCAACATTGATCTTGATATCCACAATACAAGATGAGTTCCCTGCGCTGCGCTGTAGAACACCCTGAGGTAGCAATATCAGCTAAAATGTAAAATATAAGTAGGAAAGTCTGCTGTATTTATAGTGGAAACTTGTTAATTTCCTAGAACATGATTTTCGGACTACTCCTCTCCTCTTTTCATTTTTGTGCATACTGTTTTTGGGTAACACATGGACGTAGTCAGACATTGTGGCCGCAGCGTCGGCCCCTTACCCCGTCCTAGCCGCAGTGCTCGGTTCCCTAGCATGTCCTAGCCGCAGCGCTCTACCCCCCTAGTTTGTATTAGCCATAGCAGCGCTAGGCCCAGAAATTTTCTTAACCCAGGCCCCAGCCTAACCCTTCTTTCTTTTGGTTTCATAAATCAAGAAATTTATTATTTTCCATCTTTTATCATAGATAAATAAATAAACATAGATAGCTTATGTACGCAAAATCACCAAGAATTGTACAGTCCGCGAACTCATACTTCTAGGGGTCAAAGTGTACTTCAATGATAAGCGGGGTGGTTTGGTGTTTTAATGGATTTCATAATAGAGTGTAAAATAACTCCGGGAATGGAACTATTTGAACAACAATATTTCACTGAGCAATATATCATATGGACGAGAACTGAAGAAGGACATGAGAAGGACTAAACTAACTTAAATTTCTCTCTACAGAACTCATGTACACCACAAGTACTCAATGACATAAGAACAGCCAATGTTCACAACCGACCTAGTTAATCTATATAATAGGAATATCTTTAAAACATCTCTGTACATTTATATCTTTCAAGATGAAAAATGTCGTCTTATGCGCAATCTATCTTTATCTATGGCTTTTATAAGATTTGTCATCGTCAACAATATTAATTCATGATATTATCTTTGACATTCTACAAAAATAAAAATTTGAACCGTTATTTGAATGCTAAATGATTTCATTGATAAAACTTCTTAAGCTGGACTAACCAGAGTGAGATGCATTCGGTTTCTATGAAATCAAACGCGCTTAGGTCTATTATTCAATCAACCTTTAAACTTACGGAGTTGTTAGTTTTATTATACTTTTTCATTCAAAACGTTTAAGATGCCAACAAACAAGTTTTTTTAAAAGGCGAGAAATGCATCCTTAATATGTCAAATTATGATCGAAAGTCACAGCTTTCTGTTCAAAGAACAGAACTCTTAAATCCGCGTGCTCTAAATGGTGTAACTTAATAATGAAAGTATTTAGATAGTTAGTTATGTTTACAAATATTTATTGCTTTCCAAAATCAGAGAAGTAAGATAAAAATAAGAACAACAATTGGAGACACCTTCCCCCCCCCACCACCCCTGCACCCGTCAACCTTTCTCTTTTGTCCAAACTTGATTTAAAGACAGGAATGAGCGGAAAGAAAAAATGTTTTCAAAATTATTCATCAATTTTATAAATGCTTCGGAATATTTTAGAGAATTTTCCTCACCGTTTTTATCTTTATGATTCTGAATTAACAGTTTTATTACAGTATTTATTAGTCCGTAGAGCTGATATGTTTAAACTATTAGTAATCATTATCACAGCTTTCAAGGTATGGATCTAACTCTTNATTAAATGTTGTTAATAAGCAAATAGTTTTAATAGCTTGAAAATTAACTTTTTAAGTGAATTGGTTCTGTGTACACTGCACAAATCCTGTGTTTCATGTTCATTGCACACGGGGCCAAACAGGGGACAACACAGGGGACTAAACCGGGGTCAATATGGGACCAAACAGGGGACAAACCCTGCGGCCAAACAGACGACCAAACCAGGGACCAAACCGGGGTCTATCCTGGGGCTAACAGGGGTCAATCCTGGGGCCTAACAGGGGACCGATCAAAGAAAAAACCAGGGACCAAACACACGTGAATTTAACGGTTCTGTAAATATGTCAGAAAGCTGAGACTTTCGATCACAATTTGACCCCTTATACATAATTTTTTAGGCTTTTTCTGAAAACTTTTTATGTCGGCGTATACGTTTTGAATGAAAAAGTATAAAATAAACGAATCCGAAGTAAGGTTGCTGAATTAGACCAAAATACGTTGATTTCAAATAAAAGAAACCGAATGCTTCTCACTCTGGTTAGTCCGGAGGGAACAGGGACGGGGGGGGGGCAAACAGGGAACCAAACAGGGGGCCAAACCGAAGGCCAAACATTAGTGTCAGGTTTTACAATTGTCGTAGCATTCTGTCATTTTAATTTCTAGAACTTTTAACGACACTAAAATTGACTTCTCTTCTCTATTCTGAATTATTTTACACAACAATTGAAAAAATACATTCAATTTTCCAAAACCTTTATAGCAGGAAGACTTGGATTTTGAAAAGACAAATGAACATGAAACACAAAAACTGTGCAGTGTACACAGACCCATTTCTCCTAATAAGTTACAAGTAAAACTTTTTGCTAAAATGTCGTCTTTCTTTCGTTTTATGTATCTTATTGTACACATTTATTATTGTACACAATAATCTTTTCTCTTGATTATCATTCCTTTAAGAAGAAAATTGGAAACCTGAAAGCGCTGTCAACTTAATTTCAACTAATCCCCATCCTTTACTCTTTAGTCGATGTAGATAAAGGAAGATATCAATCATACATGTTGAATTCTTCCTTTTTGTCTTTTTCTCTCTGCTGTATAAATTTAAAAGTCACTTTCACTTATAGAAAACCAAAATTGTAAATTATAAATTTTCAGAAAAAAAAGAATATCTAAATGAGTTTTGCTCAAGGTCTTAAGGTTACCGTTGTGAATTGGGCATGCCCCTCTTTTTTTGAGGGTCACTATTTTTGTCAACATCACACTTGTATGCGATTCCATTAGCGCCTGATCCAATCAGGGTTCACACATGTGTTAGGTGTCTATTCTGAACCAATAGAAATTGTTTGGCAGTATCTTCTATCTTTCTATCTATCTCATCATCCAATTAGAGATGAATCCTTATAAATTTAAATATTTACTTCTACTCAAACTATAGTCTAAGCTTTTTCCAATTTCTAGTTTGTTAGTGTTGAGGGAATAGACTGGGTTGGAGAGGCGGGAGCAAAATGTCCGGATTGCACAAAAATCAGGTAAAAATATATTTTTTGATATCCCNATTTATCGGCGCTAAAGTCTATCCATTTATTTTAATTAGATTACTGATGTTGATTAGGTGCAATGTAAACAAGGAGTATGAAATAGAAGGGAGATACAACTGATTATACATGCTTTGCAGACGGTACTCCATTTGTTTAAGAAATATTCAGAAAAGGTTATTGTATACGCGGTAATTGTACATCAGACAAATATTTCTTATTCAAATGAAGTACTGTCTGCAGACTGCAGAGTCTGCAAATCATGTATAATCATATGGTAGGGCGGGCCGCGTCAGTTGTATCTCCCTTCAATTCCATACTCCTTGATTGTAAAGTAAACAGTCCTTGCATACAAACATTAACATTAAAGGATTTGTTTGCGCAAAAAGCAGCCCGAAAATTTCATTGTCAAGCTGATAAGCGAAGGCGTTAAGTGATAATTAGAAGATTTTAAGAGGTTTAGAGACAGAATTTTATTCAAACCTATATGCTAAAGGTTTTAAAATAAATATTTCATGTAAAACAACTTATGAACCCTTTCTTGGAAACTAAATTTTCTTTAAAAAATTCAATTAGAATTCGCAAACAGAGTTAAGCACATTCTAACGAGTTCATCTATGAAAATTGGAGGCAAATCGGTTAATGGGGTTATGTTCGGGCATGCAAAGAGACAAACAGTGATTACATCTTATTTAGATTAAATTAACAAAATAGGCTGCTTTCAATTCTCAAGAAAAAATACACAACAATTGTAAGAAGATATATTGTAACAAATTTTACAACAGAAATTTAAATAAACTAGGCTTTCAGGGCGCTTTGCGCACATCTTCTATTTCAATTTTGAACAATTTCTCTTAGTATACAAAGTAAAACAAAAACAAATAAAATTTCGCGGAGTTAAAAAAAATCGTGGATATTCAAAATTTTCACAAATTTTTGAAAATTCGATCATCCATAAACCTTCCCTGGAAACACGAGAGGTCCCAAAAAAAGTGTGGGACCTCTCGGTTCGGAAGTTTTGACGTTTATTGAATAAAAACGGAAAGACAGACAGACAGACTAACAGACAGCAAAGTGTTTATATAGATATAAACAAAATACTTTGTTTCAGAGAATGAATAAAACTTTTAAATCCCAAAAAAAATTTCGCAGATTTCGCTGTTTTATTAACCGAATTTAAAAAAAAAATTTAAATCATAATTATTTTGGAAACTTTTTCAAAATTCTTTTTTAAAACTAAATATTTTTATTTTCCGAATAGTTTTACAAAATAGCAATTTTATTACAAAATATATATTAAAATATATATTGTATATATCACATTAGATTGTAATGAAATATATGTTTAAGGATTTAATATGGAGTGTACCCGGTTACATAGTAATGAGACTTTCGATTCAGCCCAATCAGTCCAGCCGTTTGGCCGGCTATACGCAACTTATATATATATATACGAATGTACTGTTTTATTTAGATATTTTAAAAATTTCAAGAGTTATAATAATAAATCAATAAATATATCAATATAAGACACATTTCTTAAAATTCTAACTATGAAAAATTCAAAACCACTAGCTTATTTCAACTGACGCCATCTT